GGGAATTCTGGGGGTTGAAGTCCAGACATCTTAAATTTGCTGAGATTGAGAAACACTGATCTAGAGTATTGTGTAAATGCAGTCTGAATTTTTTTAACCTCAAAATGACAGCACCCCACTCTAGTCTTTCTGGACAGGCAATAATAAGAGAGGACAATTTATTTATTGAATATATTGGCTGCCCCATTCCAGAGGATTCTGGGTAGTTTTACAAAATTAAAACCACAGTATGGTAGGAAGTACACGTAGTCCTTGGGTTACATCCATTTGTTCAGCGACCGTTCAAAGTTGTGATGGTGCTGAACGAGGGGGACTTACGATCAATCCTCGGAAGTTGTGGCCGTCACAGCGCCCCTGCGGTCATGTGATTGCCATTTATGGCCTTCTGTGCTAGCTTCCCACAAGCAAAGTCAATGGGGAAGCCAGCAGGAGGGTGCAAGTCGCTCCCGTAAGTCACTCCTGCTCCTGGAGAGAAAGAGAAAAATCTCTTTTTCTCCCAAGGAGCCCCTGGGCAGAGGGGGATTTCATTCTCTGTAGCACCGCTACCTGCCGGCCTGCTTGCAAGTCACCTAAGAGGGGGAGGCTTGTCCTGCTGCAGCGTGTGACTTCCTGCTGCCTTCTCCATTCTTTGCTTGTTGGAAGCTGGCAGGAAGTCGCAAGGCACGGTCATGTGAGGTCCTCGCTTAATGATCTGTGGTTCTTGCTGAACGATGGCCACAGGGACTGCTGCAATGGCCGGTGCTAAGCAGCACAGTCACGTGACATTGCGCTTTACGATCACATCGCTTAGTGATGGAAATTCTGGTCCCAATTACCATCGTAATCTGAGGACTACCTGTAGTACAAACAGCATTGGGTGTAAAGAGCCCAATTATAGAGGAAGATATTTGCCAGAACAGCAATATTATCTAACTTCAGTTTTAGCTTTTTTAAGAGGGTCAAGAAAGACAAGATGGCAGCTGTGATTGAAGCCCTGCCCCTTTTTCACAGGTGTGGCACACACAACTCAGGTAAAATAAGGCGGGGCTTCAATTGTGTGGTTGGGGATGCCATTTTAACTCTTTTTGACTCCCTCTTTCCCCCTAGAGGGAAATAGAAATAACCAGGAAATCTACAGGTAGTCCTCACTTAACGACAATAAGGACTGGAAAATTGGTTGTTAAGTGGGTCACCATGTGGCCAGACCAGTCATTAAGCGAGTCACCATGTGGCCAGACCTGATGTTATGAACGTTTTTACAGTGGTCATTAAGTGAATCACCATGATTGTTAAGCAAATCACGTGGTCATTAAGCAAATCTAGCTTCCCCAATGCAATGGACATTTTTTGCTGGAATTCACGTCGTAACGACCATGTGATTTGCTTAACGACCATGGTGATTCGCTTAATGACTGTTGTAAAAAAGTTGCATATCACGATCACGTGACTGCGGGGGGATGCGACAGTTTGTGACGGTCATAAGTGCAAGTACAGGTTGTAAAGTGCTTTTTCCAAGGCTATCCTAACTTTCAACCATCATTAAACAAACAGTTGTTAAGTGAGGACTACCTGTATTTAATGAAGATGTTTCTTGAGTTAAGCAGGAATATGAGAACCCTGGTTGCAATCCCTTTCTTTTCCAGCGCGGCTGATATCTATGTTCGCGAATATTTCCACAACTATGTCACCTTGGGGCACCCTGAGGCCACTCCGTTAATGGTGAAATACACTGGCCGTTCAATCAGAACAGCTGACCCTGTTACGCTACGCTACTGCTGTCTCTCTTCAAGTGGAAATGCGTTTTGCCTGCCTACTAAAGAACAGTTGGATCGTCACCGCATTGTCCTCACCACCTGCATGGTGTCACAGGATCTTGGGGTGATCCCCGGTTATTTTAGCCACATCTTAATTGATGAAGCTGCACAGATGTTGGAATGTGAAGCTCTTGTTCCTCTCTCTCTTGCTACCCTGGAAACCTCAATCATCCTGGCGGGGGACCACATGCAGAAGACCAATAGACTCTTCTCCCTGCACAAGGATGAGCAGTCAGCTGACTACACACTGCTTAATCGCCTCTTCCAGTGTTACAAGAAGGAGCAGCATGACGTAGCCACCAAGAGCAGGATTATCTTCAATGAGAACTATCGCTCTACTGCAGGAATCATTGAATTTGTCTCGAGGCACTTTTATGTTGGCCGAGAGGATGCCATCAGTGCCAAGGGCAACATACCTCCTCATCCAGAGTTCTATCCACTCATGTTTTGTCACGTGGCTGGTAGTGCGGAGAGAGACAGATCCATGAGCTGGTACAACATCTCAGAGATTGAGCAGATCATTGAGAAGGTGCAGGAAATGGAGCAGAAGTGGCCGGATGAATGGGGGAAGAGGGAACTCAAGTCCATCTGTGTGGTCTCTTATGGCATACAGGTAAGGAGTTAGGGGCATATGTTACCCTGCGATTCATAGAATTATAGAATTGAAAGGGACCCCAAGGATCATCTAATCCAGTATTTCCTAATCTGGACAACTGTGTGGACTTCACCTCCTAGAAGTTTTTAGCAATGGCCATGCTGATTGGGGAATTCTGGGAGTTGAAGTCCACACATCTTAAAATTGCTTAGGGTGGGAAACCGTGATCTGGTCTGTGGTATGCAGGAAAGCCAGTTAAGACATCCAGGAGAGGTGGTTGTCCAGCCTCCTCTTCAAAATTTCCAGAGACAGGGAACCTACAGTCTAGGAGCTGGAAACCTTTATCTGTTATTTCTGGCCCTAGTTTTTGTAGCCATAGAAAAATGTTCCTGACCACCTTCCCTTAGCTTCTCCTTATGTACCTCTGCATTTCTGATTTACCAGTGATGACCTTGGCTATTCCAAAAAACCTAAACATGATCTGACCGGGTTAATACTTGGATGGAGGAGTTCTAAAAAACCCTAGGGCTGTATATTAGACCAAAACTTAAGAAAAAATATGCTGGAAAATATCCACGGCCCTCCACTTCCATGTTGCTAAGAAAACAGGACTAATGTCTTCAGGTAGGTTTCAGATGTCAAGCTTGATCTGAAGAAACTTTACCTTGTCTATAGCACATGGCAGCATCTTACATGAAGTTGGCTATTCTTGGAAAAGCTAAAGCAGGATTGAAACTTGATGATGCTTGGGTGGGTGGGAGATCACCAGGAACTCTAAGGGCTCTTGGTTAGAATAGGAAGTTGGGGGGAAAAAAAGTCTCAGAGGAAAGCATGGAAAGCCCACATCCATGTTGTTGGCAAGAAATTGGAATTTACACAGATGTTAAGCCCCAAGTACAGTGGGAGTGTGGGTTTTTCTTTTTTTAGATTTTTGCATTTTCCTTATAGGCTATCATGTCTCTGTTTCCTGTGAGTTTTGCATAAAAATTGCACTGAAAGGTAATTGTGATACTTGCTAGAATGGCAAGGACAATGATTGTCGACTTGGCAAGTTTACTCTGTTCCCTTCCTGTGCTTGATAAGTTCCATCTGCCCAGAATTATGTTTCCAATGGAGCAAGATAGTTTTAGCCATATAGAAGGATGTTTGGATCACTCATACAAGTGGCTGTCTATATTGATATCAGTATATCTGCCTGGGCTGCTGGTGGTGAAGAGAGTTCAAAAGGTCAATATTTTATTTATTTATTTATTTATTTATTTAATTTGTCCCCACCCATCTCCCCACAATGGGGGA